AACAGTTTCGATGATGATGTTTCAGAGATGGATCGAATTTGTCATTCCTTTCCAGTCATCTGCTTAGGTTCATCCATAAGAAACATTAACTCCATCGTTGGACGATTTGGCATTGACATAGGTAAACTCATGCTATTATTTTTTTTAGCATTTTGCTCAGATAAGCCATTTACTAACCTCGCCGAATAGATCACTATAACCTCACCAGAAATCGTCGGGTATCTCTCAGATGTGTCGCTTTGGTTACATCAAATAGGAGATGATCTGAGTTCTTAGATCTCAGATATGGGTGTGACGAAGCCAAATTTTCCAAGCTCTTGCAAAACTAGGGTTTTTGAACAATCACACCAACGGGAAAAGGTACAAGAAGCTTTTGTGTGAGGTGCGGGTGCCGCAACTTTCACCTTCATAAGAGCACATGTGCCACTTGCAGGTTCCCTTCGAGCCGTATCAGGATTGATGTATAATTGGAGCGTGAAGGTGATCTGAAGGAAGACAACCGGAAATAGGTTGGATGAGGAACCTTCGTATCTCCTGCATAGATTCAAGAGTAACTTTATAGGAGATACTCAAGCAGCTCTAAGGAAGAAGGGAGCTTCTCCTTCTTAAGGTGTATGTGGACATAATTTTGGCGAACATATTTTTGGAATGTTTTCGGCGAGCACCAAACAACTATTTGGTGGAGGATAAAGAAAAACAAGGGACTAGGAAAGAGAAGGGAGAGGGCTAAAAATAAGATCATAGAAGAAAAACCTTGAAATGGTGAACAAATATCAGAAAAATAAAGAGGGCATGGGATTTATGAGGGAGAGATATATGGGGAGAGGAGAGAATGGAGAGTAGGAAATCTAGTTTCGACAGTGCCTCTTCATTGGCAGACCTAATTCTGACAGGAATTTCGACAGTGCCTGCAATATAACTCATATGGGGTTGAGAGAAAACTTGAAATCAAGAAACCCATATCGTCTCTATAACAAATCGAACTCCAAATCACCAATCTTCTGCTTCAGTTATCAATTCCCTACAACATTTTTGAGTTTAGATTTTTAATTTAATTCTCTCTTTTTCCCTTTTTCCTTTTCCTTGTTTTATTTTGAAAATTTGAAGAAGAATAAAGGGTAAAATAGTCTTTTTGGTCTTTTTTGTTAATGAATATTAAGGGGTGCTAACGGTAAGGGGCATTTTAGGAATTTTAAAATAATTACCACTCATGTGGTGTCACATGTGAATGAAGTGTGACGGAAAATTAACGATAAGGGAGGTTTTAAACAATATCAAAAAACTTAAGGGTACTTTAAGATAATAGCTAAACAATAAGGGTGGAGTTAGTCAATTAGCTAAACAATAGGGGTAATTTAAGAAAATTGCCCTTTAAAATTTTATAAGGAACAATCAGCCACTTATCCTATGAAAAAAATAGGTCCATTAAGTATTGGAAGTGTCGTATATACTTATAGTGCCATTAAAAACCAGAAGTAATTGTAAGGCGCAAGAGTTAACAATCCCTTCCCTGAATGAGCAAGACCTTGAGCAATCCACAACCATATGCATAACCTAAGCAAATTAATAACACCCAGACAACCATAGGAGAAAACAATGGAATAGAGAAATGAGAAGCTTACATCAGGGAATAAAGCGTCTTTTCTTTTAGTAATACCTTAAGAGGTTACGCAATAAACCTACAATTCGAACATTCTTAGTGCCTGCACCTATAAGACCCAAGGATATTATAGCCTCCTCTATAACCAACAAACATTGTCTTCCAAAAATGATAAAAGCTTTGAGTGTAGACATTCTACAACAAGCACATACCTGTGCTACTTCTAAACTTGTATCATGGCTTAGTCTCCTTTGTGTGCCCACGACATTCACCTGCCAATAATATCTAGTCACAAATAGGTGGAGAAGAAATAGTTTTAGGAATGAATATAGAGAAAGCTAGTTGTAGTGGCTTATTTTGAGCTGCAACACATTCGGGGCCAAGGCTCGTTAATTTTCCAATTCGAACACTTCAATCATCTCTTCTAATGTATTTTCATTTTTCGCAAAAGTGCCAATGCTTGAAGAAGTTTCCAATGAGTTGAAGAAACAACATTGGCTTACACGATCAAAGTCATTCCTAATACCATAGTTGACAACGAGAACTAATAACAAAGCTAGGGATAGCAATTTTCCTCATTTCCTTCATCCCCACGGGGATCCGCCCCGAATGGGGAGGGGATGGGGATGATTTTCCCCCACGGGGACGTGGATGGGGAAATTTTCATCCCCATTAGCGAGGACGCCCACAGGGACCCCGATCCCCGCCTTGTGGGATCCCCACTAATATATATGTATATATGTATGCATACGTTATATATGTATATATGTACACATACATCTATATATTAATATTTTAAAAAATATGGTTGAATATGTTCGAATCTTTTCTAAATTCTAATAAGATTGCAAATTTTAATTATTTTATTTTTTTAAATAAAATAAAAAACAAAAATAAAATAGTTAACATTATAAAAAATCACGGGGAATGGGAATCCCTGTGGGGATGGGGATGGGGATTTCTCCCCGTCCTCGTCCCCACCTTGTTTCCATTACTAAACAAAGCGCCTCCAATGTCAAGGTTAAAACTGCAATATTACAACTATTTATTAGTTTGTGCAATTTCGAAATCAATATGCCATAACTGAATCATACCCTACAATAGCAAAAGCTTGAACATAGAATGAGATACCAACCTTGTGGAGAAAAGACCATATGGTCTGTATTGAGAAGACCATATCCTAATGGAGAAAAGAAAGAGATACCAACGTTGTTGTAGCTCCAGCCTTCCCATCTTCCTTTTTTTGAATTAAGGGCTATCAACGGTTCAAGTTTACCCAACGGATCCACACAAACTGAGCTAATTATAGTAGATCTAATTCCGTGATTATATCGGGACTAATAATTGGATTGATTTAATCGAACCATGGGCCTTTTTTTTTGTAACCAAACCGGTACTACCGGTTTTTGGAAAATCGATAACTGAAACCGAACCGAAGCCTATTGGCTAACCGTCAGTTCGGTTCGTCGGTTTTTTAATTTTTACAATATATTACAAAAATATATATATAATAAAAATTATAAATATATATAAAATATTATATTTTAAATAATAAATAATATATCATATATTATAAATATATTTATATATAATGCATATTTATTAATTTATAATATAAAAAATAAAAGATATATATATATATATATATATAATATATGTGTATATAAAATATATATAATATACATAAATATATAGAAATATATGTATACCGATCGGTCCAGTTAACCGCCGGTTTTCTATATTGGTTAACCGAAACCGAACCGACTAGTTCGGTTAACCAATTTTTTAGTTCGGTTTTTTTGATTTTTTTGCTAACCTCTAGTTCCTTTTCCCACCTGTCCTGAACCGATTCATACTAAAAACTGATTATTTTGTTAACTATAAATAATATTTGCTTCAGTTTCTTATATTTTTATCATATTGTATGTTTAAAATGGCATATTTGATAGATAGATAGTTAAAGATGTTTAACTTTTAACATATAAAAAATTTAGTATTTTTCTATGAATTTTATCAACGTTATATGGTCAAAATTTAAATTTTAAGTTACCATTTAAATTAAAGTATTTTTTAGTGTAATTGGTTCGGTTATTAACATAAGATATTGTTTGAACATAAGTTTTAAGTTTACAAGGATGATTCTGGGTTAATGAATTTGTCCCGGTTAATAATCGGTTTGAGAGTGCTTCTATGTAGACCTAACACGGACCCCACCCATTGACAACCCTATCTTAAATGGTTAAGTCCCAGTTGAGCCACCATTTAAAGCATCATCATGAATCCACTTATCTTACAGAACAAAAAGAAATGGAAGTCCATTAAGCATGGAATGTGTCTTATACTTGCAGTGCCATAAAAAACCAGAAGTAATGGTAAGGCATAAGAGTTAGCAACCCCTTCCCCAAATGAACATGACCTTGAGCAAAGTTCCAGTCGAGCCATCACTTAAAGCTTCATGACCAAGCAAATTAGTAACGCCTAGACAACCACAAGAGAAAGCCAATGGAGTGGAGAAATGAGAAGCTTACATTGAGGAATAGAGCGTCTTCCTTATAGTAATACTTTGAAACATTGTGCAATAAACCCGCAATTTAAGCAGTTGTGGTGCTTGCACTTATAAAACCCGAGGATATTATGACCGCCTCCATAACCAAAAAAATATTATCTTCCAAAAATAATTAACGTTTGGATTGCAGGCATTTTACAACAAGTATATACCTGTGCTGCTTTTGAACATGTATCACAACCTAGTCTCCTTTATGTGTCCACAACATTCACCTGCCATGAATATCCGATCACAAATAGGCAGAGAGAGATAGTTGTAGAAATGAATATAGAGGAAGGTAGTTATAATGGCTTATTCTAGGCTGTAGCACTGGTTATTACTCCAACTTGCAAAAGTGCCACTGCCTAAAGAAGTTCTTGACGAGTTCAAGAAAGTAAACAAATAAATAATTATGATAACAAGGACAATAAATAAATGACAACCTTTAAAAAGTTTTTGCATATAGAAACAATATTGGCTTATATGATCACAATCATTCTTGATGCCACAATTGACTATGAAAATTCATATTAAAACATTCGCAATGACAAGGATGAAATTATTTTAAAAATATTTATTAGTTTGTGGGGTCGAAATGAACATCCCAACACAAAATCATACCCTTCGCTAAAAAAAACGTTCTAAGCCGGCGTCTTTATGACCGCCGCTATATTGAGAAATAAGGCGGCAGCCGTTTTAAGACTGCCACATAAACCGAATTTGGGATTTGACGCGGCGGTTTTTTTGAATTGGCACGACGGTTAAAGCTTTAAACCGATTTGAACCGATTTAAATTGATTAACAAGCCGGTGGCATATATATATATATATATATATATCCTCCCGCGTTCGACAATACAACAGGAACTTTGACGGAGACATAAGGTTGGCAGAGATTGGGAGATCTCCAAGAGAAGAAGGCATACTAGAGATTGAGAGGGGAACATCAACATTGTGTGACTCTGAAAAGCTTGAGAAGAAGGCATACCAGCGATTTGTAGATCTCCAAGAAGATTATAACCCTTTGATTATTTTAGGGATCGATGGTGGGTTAGGGTTTTTCTCCCAATCAAACAAAGGGTAAAATAGATCTTTAGATAGGAGGTGAAGGTAAAAGGGATTCTAAATAGTAGGCCAAAGGGTTATGGATGTAGATGCTACTTTATTTTTATTTTATTTTTCAATCTTTTAAATGGAGATTAGAAAATATGTGCGAAAAACCTTTTGATATCCTATTTTTTTTCTTTTTTTTTTCAATCTTTTTCATTCTCTATTTTTTTTTTTCCTTTTTCATAAGAAATTGATTAGGGCATACTTTGATTATTTCAGAAGATGTTTCTCGTTTGGACGATGGTGATGAAACCGAGCTTCGGGTTTTAGGGCTATTGGTGATGAAAGTAGCAATGCTACTTTCTTCAGGGTTGTTCTGTTAGTTCGTTGAGGAAAGTTAATCATTTATCTTATAATTTTTGATGAGATGTTTACAGCATTTATGCATTGTTTATTTTCTTTCTTATTCCAGTATGATGAAGCAAGGGAGTTTGTAGAGAGAGCTCGCTGCACTGGTGAGCAAATTGATCCTCGCTATATTTACTTTCTTCAACATTTTGAAAATCCCTCCTAATTGCAAATTTCTGTCATTATTAGTATATTAGAATAGAAGCTTCCTTGCATTTTTTTTTCTGGTCAATGCAAATCTGTTTTATATTTTACCATTCACTATCTCCGAGGCACCATTATCTAATGGGTAAAAATTGAGTAGAAAATGTGCACTACTCAACTATTATTATCACATCTCACCCAATTGCACGATAAAGTTTAAGAAAAACTAATATTGAAACTCAACACTTTTAGTTTGTATAGTGCATTACCGTATAGCTCCCCACATTAGTAGTATGACTGAAGGTTTGCAGGAACAGGTTACATATGATTATACTAGAGTTAATTTAATTCTTCTATTTAATGGAAGTGAAAAGTTGGTTGGTCAACTGCTTTCGTGTTCTTCTCCAAATTTCTTTTCTTTCCTTTTTTCTTTCTTTTAATTGTTTTGCATTCTATTTTGGCCAATAATGTATGAGAGGGTTTATTGGCTCATTAAAAGGGTTATGATGCAACTTTTAGGCATTTTCATAAATGAGTAGGTATATTCTCATACAAGACAAAATTTATCTTGGGTGGGCTACCAATACAAAACAGGTGGTCTAATGTCGGGGAATTTGGAATGTTTAATAAATTTTGATATCAACCGAAAATTACTGTCTTTTAGCAAATAAGTTTTCAAGGAGGTTGTGGTCTCCTTACTGGCTGAAGCTGAGGTTGAAAATTCTATTATTTAATTATTTTAATGACTAGATGGCAGGGTAATAAAATTTTCAGTTCAGAAAATTCAGCTGTTATCAAATGGCCCCTTAGATGTTTGAGTTAATGGGGCTCTGAATTCTTTCCATACCTGTATTTTTATATACAAATTTGAGTGGTTAATTTTATTCATTTAGCCCAAATCTTGGATTTAGAAGCCCAATTGTTTGTTTATTTGTTTGTTTTTTTTTGTTAATTTTATGGGTATCTCTTAATCTCCTATAATCCTTTCATGTTGGGGGTCCATCTCTCAATCCACCTTAATGATTGTTGAGCTATTTGGAAATTGATTTTGTCCCCCATAAACACCCAACAATTAGTTATTACTCTAATTATTTTATTCTACTTTTAATTCAGCGGAGGTGGTTAAAGTGATCATATGTCAGTGTGTTTATATATGATGCGGTTGTTTGAATTATGTGACTTTTTGTCTGGGCTCAAAAGAATAATAAACCTAAACAGAAATCACAAATGTTCTCTTTAAGACAGAATCTCTTGGATGAAGGGATTTAATGCATGATTCAACCTCTCACCTCTACACTTGGAAGGCTGGGATATCAGAAAGCCCATTAACTTTCATTCACATAGCCTGAGATCATAAAGATCCAGTAACCCAAAATGCCAATCTGTCTAAATTGTAGAGCATGCAGTGACTGAGCACCAGTGGTCTCATCAGATGGGCATGACCATCCAAGTGGCGCTCCATTGATAAGATGGTAGATGAATAGATAATGAGATGGCAACGTGTGTATGGGTCAAAGCTCTGTGCCCTTTCCCTCATGAAAGGGGCAAATTTGAGCTACCCTTTTACCTAGCTAGAGTTCTATGCCCGCACAGAGCTGAGCTAGGGAAAACCTGACTGAGCACCAGTGGTCTCATCAGATGGGCATGACCATCCAAGTGGGGCTCCATTGATAAGATGGTAGATGAAATAGATAATGAGATGGCAATGTGTGTACGGGTCAAAGCTCTGTGCCCTTTTCCCTCATGAAAGGGGCACATTTGAGCTACCCTTTTACCTAGCTAGAGTTCTATGCCCGCACAGAGCTGAGCTAGGGAAAACCTAACTGATTTATGGAGTGGACAAATACCAAAGCCACCCAAGCTGATACTACATATTGATCATTTGATGCAACTCAAAGCCACAAATCCACATTTAAAAGTTTAAGCTTGTCTTGAGCTCTGTAAATCCATTATTTCCACATCAGCTTGTTCTCTTTTGGTTCTCAACCCCTTGAGAATTTTGTGGCATTAAGGTGTGATTCAATTCAGATCTCCTACCCATAGGATACTACAGCTGTATGTTGGGAACATAATCTGAAAGGGATACTTAAAACATTCAGTTTCATTACTTTTTATTAGGAAACTGAATACAATCACTCCCTAAGGCAAGGTGTGATTCAATTCAGATCTCCTACCCATAGGATACTACAGCTGTATGCTGGGAACATCTCCTCGTGAATGTTAGCATACCCTTGTGGGTAGGAAATCCCAAGTGGGTATGATTGATCTTGACTGCCACAATTTTCAATGTTTGAATATCCAACTTTTTCACTAATTGGTTCAACCTCATCTACTTGTAGATTGAGTATATATATTGAATTTGAAAATGAGACACATGGCACTAACTACCTAGTTTTGCAATATTGTATAAATTAATATCAAGTTATTGGATTTTTTCCACCTAATTAATGCTCTTTAGTTTTACTCACTTGGAGCATCTCTTGTTGTAATATCATTAGGAAATGAAATTCATGTATTGTCGCATGCATTGATTTTCTTTCTTTTTTCCCCTTTATTATAGTCTTTCCTCATCTTGCTAGCACAAAGCTAAAAGAAAGGTTATGTTGGCTCTTTTGTTTAATGGTTCATTTCCCCCACTATATTATAAAATGACTTTTGGATCTGTCATTGTAGGTTCAAAGAGCTTTATTTCCAAGGTATTGGTGAACTACTTGCAATAACAGTAGTGTCTTTCCTTACTTGAGGGTGATCACAAGAAAGCAAAAAGTTTAGCAGGTATTTTCTATTTTAACATGAGAATGTTGGTATACTTGGATGTATCTTCAGTAGAAACAAATATTGTGAATATCACTAGTGCAACATTGGTCTTGCTTTTCAATTATACTTATGTATCCTTATCTAGTAGTTCTTGTTCATTTCCTCCTTAGAAGAAAATATGGAAGATTCAACTTTTCTATTTTCAGTCCTCTATTTTTTTTTAATGGGCAACAGAATGAATTTTCATTCAATATCAAAGAAACCATGTTGTCCAAGAATGGTAAGCAAGGGCATTACAAGTGCTTAATAGCTTGTTTGTTATAGGCAGAGTAAGAAGTTTGTTTCTCTTTTTCACCTAATTAATAGCTCTTTAGTTGGGCAGAGTAAGACTATGGGTCAGACATTTTATGGTTGTTGGGCCAAAATTGTTTTAAATTTTCAAGTGCTTATAAATATTTTGATTTTTAATTAAGTCAGTCTTATAGAGCAGCATGTTGTTGCTTTTGCTTACTGCTTTAATCTGGTTGAAGGAATACTCCATTGAGATCTACGAGTGGTCTGGAACTAGCTGTGAACCATTGTTGCTGATGATGTCCAAGTGCAGTTGTACATGATGAGCCCCTATGTGACGAAAACGTTACAGCCGGGAACCATTGTTGCTGATGGAACTAGGTGGGAACCATTGTTGGAAATTGGTATTTTTTTTTTATTCCTTGTACTTTTATACATCAATAGGATATTGTATTTAAACAATTTGTTTTGGATATTATAATAATAAATAATTCAATTAATAGATTTTTGTTTTAATTGCATTTTTTATTTAAATTTTTTATGTATCACAATATCAATTGTCATGAGATTTGTATTAAATAGGGTATTAAATTGAGATTTGTCATGGAATTAAGTTACTATAAAAAATAAAAAAAAATATATCAAAGCCGGCGGTCATGCAACCGCTGGCTTAGCCATAAATGAGCTGTAAGACGGTGGTCAAACAGAACCTAAGCCGATGGTTTAGACTGCCACCTTAAAAGATAGGTAGAATTTTGATTGACCTAAGCTGGCGGTCAATTTGATCTAAGCCGGCGGTCAAAACCACCACCTTTATTAATGCTAAGCCGGTGGTTTTGACGTATCACCGCTTTAGAGTTAATTGAATCGTTTCGGACCAGCCTTCAAGGGTGGTGGCCTTTTTTGTCTAACTCGGTGGTCTTGACCTAAGTCGGCAAAGGTTTAGGAGGTGGATTGAAGACTGCTACCTTATATCAAAGCCGGCAGTCATGAGTTGGATGGGTGCCTCTAAAAGCTTTCTAAGAGTAAGAAAAGGCTTAATTAAAATGTTTTAGCGATGTTTTGGGCTGCCTCTAGAGATATATGCTTTAATGTTTAGTGGCACTTTTGGCCGCCTCTAAAGATGTTCTAGATTTTTTTAAATGTTTTTATCACATACAAAACCTGTATCAACCTATACATAGGGCTAGGGGTGCTCACGGTTCGGTTAACCCAACCGTGAGGGTTTTTTAGAAATCGAACCAGTCCTACTAGTTTTTCCATATCTCCAAACCGAAACCGAACCGATACCACTGGTTAACTGGTTAACCAATTTCGGTTCTTTGGTTTTTTATATTTATAACATATATTATAAATAAATAAATATATATTATAAATAGCATAAATTTATATAATATATGCAATATATTTATAATATATTATATATTATAAATAGATAATTATAATATAATATATGTATATATTTATATATAATATATAGATCATATGTGTGATATATTAAAAATATATAATATACATATAAATACATATATCGGTAGGGTTGTCCATAAAAAACTGAATAACCGAACCAAAAAATGTGATTAACCGAATCGACCATTTGGTATTTTTGAAAAGCGAAGGACCATTTAGTATATTATTTTATTATTTATAAAATAATATTATACATATATTTATTATAAATGTAAAAAACCAAAAAACCAAACCAGTCATAAACTGGAACTGATCAACCGGTTAACCGGTGGTACCGGTTCAGTTTCGGTTTGGAGAAATTGAAAAACCGATAGGACCAGAAATACCAAACTAAAATCAAACTGATCAGTTCAGTTCAGTTATTCAATTTTTTATGAGCACCCCTATTAGGGCTGTCAATTGGACTGAATTTGGTCCAATCCAATCCGATCCAATATAGGCCCATTTAGAAATGGACTGAACCAATTCGGTCCAAACCCATACAAACTGGATCCAGTCCAATTGAAATGCTAATGGACTGGATTGGACCCGATCCAATCCAAACAAAATGATACATCAAAAATTACATAAAAGCCCATGAAATATAAAAAATTGCAGAAATATACAAAAATTTTCACAGAAATATAAATTATGCCTCCTTCATTTTCTTTTTTATCTTTCCTACTCAAATGTCTCATACATGATGAAGGGACCTTGGACACAACTTTCTAAGAAAAACCAGCCTCATAAGCATGCCTATGCATCAGAATCATAAGTCAGCAAGCACTTATTGTACAAAGGATGCCAAGAGCAGATCAGAACCTACAGTTACTTCATTTAGACAAGTTTCACATGGTATTGAGAAATGGAAAAAGGCATGTTAATCATAGTCCACGGATATAATAACAGTTCTGAAAAAATCAATGCCAGATTAGGACAAGGCCTAAGCTTTTTCTAAGTCAACTTTCCTATTTATCTATTCAAGTTTCCAACTTCATTTCATTAGGTCACTCTTCTGTATGGTCGAGTCTTCTTCATGAAGGATCATCAAATGTTCTTTCTGGTGTAACATCTTGGTGACAACAGATTAATGCATAAAAAATTACAGGAATTAATTCATCACTGGGGGATTTACTAAAGAAAATTTTCCAAATGCATGGAAATCTCAAACTCTAAAATGCGTTTAAGATGAAAGCAAAGAGAACAAAATAGTGGTGTTGTAGTTATTAAAATGCTTGTCAACAGTGGTCTGATTTGGAGTATTAGACTTGTTGAAGTAGAATCTTCTGCGAGGACTAACTCATTCCAGGGTGACCCAATTAGCTGCATATAAAAATAGAAGTAGGCAGCTCTTTCTAGTATGAGAGTAGGGAAAGAAGAGCCCAGGCTACATGGTTGGTGGGCTTTAAGTCCAGGCTTATCTTGTTGGGATAGGTCAGAATCTGATACGGGGAACCAAGTTTGGTTTTCAGCACAGGCCTAACCTGGGTTGGTGGCCAGGTTAATGTGAGAATCTTGAGACATGCATTTCGGAAACTTGTTACAGTTGAGAGAACAAGCTGATTAATGTAAGAAAAAGCATTACCTTCCATTTGGAACATGAAGCAATTCCTCCCTCACAGAGTTACAGTAACCATTACCCAAAGCATGAAACAAATCCAGGACAACGGGTTCCCAAACCTTGACATCTAGGGGGCGTTCTTTTCTCAGATTTTGAGAGGGGGGAAAGTTGGTCAATAGGATTTTGGTTCTCATTCACCAAGAATCCTATGTTCTTTTTTCAGATTTATGTGGGAACTAGGGAGAGTTTATTTTCCTGGGTACTACTTACCCGGGTAAGTGATACCCATCTCCTAGGTGGGTAAATAACTTTCCAACCTTAGGGGAAAGTTGCCAATACTTAAATGGGACAAAAATGCCCTTTTTAATAATGGATTTTTATGGCTAAATTGGTCATTGCCTTATTTACATGAGAAATAAAAGAACATGGGTAAATACACTTACCTGGGTAAGTGTTTCCCTGGAAAAACTTACCCGAGTAATTAACTTACCGAAAAGTGAATGGTGCCCTAATGTTATTGATCTAACTTGCAATTGATGGGAAAAGTAATAGGTAAAATCAGTTGTTCTACTTCAGAACAAAGGCTTGTATATATTATGCTCAATCTAGTATATGCAGGGTTCACAATTGGCAAGATTTTGCAAAGTTCTGTTTCAGAAATTGGGCCTAGAATAGAAGTATGACTGAATTCTAGTCACTGCATTGGATAGACCAAGTAGTAATCATCATCATTTATGGATTTAATAAGTGAAACTTCAGCTTCAGAAATTGGGCCTAGTTATTTACTGATTTCACTTTTTTAGGTTCAACTCCCTCCAAAACGATGCAGAATTTAACCCTTGGCTTCTATTGATTTTGAGGGGGCTATAAAGATTTTCTAGGAGGAAACCCCACTTGAATTCTGTGGAATTTGGTTGGAAATGTAACTCAAGTGATATTTCTTGATAGAAAATTTGAAGAATAATGAGAACACGCATTTGTTTTTGTTTTCAAAAACAAAACCAACCATGCTGTCGAACACACCCCTATTTACATTGATATTGTGATTCTGGGTTCATCTGGAACTGCAAACAGATTGTAGTGCATTTACAATAAATGAAAATGAATTCCATTGACACAATTGCATGGAGTACTGATGTAAATTCATTGGTGTATTCCATAGGGACAACAAAGGCAACTTTTCTACAGCAATTGCAGCACCTAGGTAGAGACTGAGGCAGAGGCAAATAGCAAAAATGAACTGTTCCCACTAGACTGCTTGGGCTGTTGGATATCATTTTTTTTATCAGAAGAAAAGGAATTTTATTAATGAAATATTAGGAATTACAAGGTCTGGGGTGTGATTTCCACCTGAAATCAACAAGGATTACAGATTTGCCCAAAACATTTGCCTTATCACAGCCCCTTGTTTGGCCAGAGAATCTGCTATTCCATTTGCTATTCTTTTTACCCACTTAAAGGAAACACTTAGTTCCCAAGGAATCTGGGAGCTATTTCTGGTCCGTGAGATGATTACTTGGGGAACCCAATTCCGCCTCTAGGTTGTGGAAGCCCAGTTGTTTCACAAGCCTTAACCCCTGCAGTAGACTAACCAGTTCAGCTGTCAATGCGTTGCTATGCTCCAAGGGACCTGAATACAGAGCCACCACTCTGCCTTTTTATCTCTGAAGACACCCCCTACCCCTGCCAATCCCCTATTACCAATGAAGCTTTCATCAAAGTTGAGTTTTATAAAATCAGGGGCCGGGGGCTTCCATTCCATCACTGTTCTTGCCTTGTCTATAGTCGATATCATCCATTTATCTTAAAAACTAATCAACTAAAATGGAAAATTCATACCTACATTCATGATATTCAAATGGATCTTAATATGGTCCAGACATCAGCTCAGATAAGTACATGAAAATATTAACAGATGATGAACAGTAACGCAACAATCTATGAATCCTTACAATGCCTCACTTATCAGAATGTAAGGAATCAACTTGAAAGAACACTGATTCCTGGGTCACAGATATCATCACTGATGCTGGTATTATTGTAGTGGTGATGGTGAGTAAGGCTGAATATATTTTACAAAACCAACTTGTTCTTTTTCTTGGCTACTGCTTACATCCCATCACCAACTCATCAATGGAAGGTATTGGATAATCCTATCTTAGACTAATCTTACTTGATCCACCCCTTGGAGGTGGTAGCAACGGAAATCAGTGGTGGTCAGGAATGAGGTGGGAAGAAAGTGTAAAAGGAGATACAGATAGGTTCCAGATTTGGAAAATTAGTCATGAATTAATATGAGGATAAGAAAAACTAAAAGCATGAATATAACAATTTCATAAGAAAATAATTTATCAGAAACCCAAACAGACGATTCCCAAGGCTATTTTTCCATTAGTAGGAAGAAGCAATCCCTGACTTGGGTGGAGAGAACTTAGAATTTCAGAAGATGAGTTGAGTATGGCTGTATGGGTACTGAGAATTACAAATAAATATTCAAGTTCTTAAAGTTATTAGTTGCCTCAACTGTTCTAATTTCACCGTTGAGTTCAAGTAACTTTTCTGGGATATGAGTCCTCAAGTTCACAAATACATTTCTTCTATCTGAGAAGCAATATACCAAAAGAATAAAGTGAGTGGAAAAATATGTTAACTTGGATTAAGAATATTTGTGCTCGTAATTATCAAATGGGAGCTTACTTGAAAACATCAAGCAGCAAACAGGCAGCAAAGCTCCTTGGTTAACCAAGAACATTATTAATGGCTAGACATAATCTCTATGCTTCCATACACTTCAAGATGTCCCAAGTCCGAACAATGGAAGAGGGTTTGTCAAGTTTACAATATTAGCCAATCAAATAGGACTGCTATGTCAGTGTTTTAAGATCCATAGGAGACCATCTGACTGAACCATCAAACTAAAGAAATACCCGTCTTAGAAACTTGCCTCCTTGCAGCCCACTAGGTTGGGTAGTTCCAAACTGGATGTTACCCAAACCATAGACTATTTTTGTACCCAAGTTTACTTAGAAAATGCAAACAAATCATATATATATATATATATATATATATATATAGAAGGTCTTCAGGCTACAACCCCCACTATTCAGACACATGGCATTCTCATTTTTTCTGGAAATCTAGACATATGTCATTTTTTGAGAAGTTGTTAAAGCCCATAACCCACTACCACTATTCAGACAAGTAGACCTCATTTTCTGGAAAACTAGACATGTGGCAATTTTTGAGAAATTCCTACCAAGGCCTACAACCCATTACCACTATTCAGATGCGTGGCATTCTGTTAATTTAAGAAATATGATTCAAAAAGTGGGTAGTTTCACTCCTAAACATTCTCAATAAATAATTATTTATTAGCTTAACACATTTTATCCATAGTCTATTAAATACAATGGGTTTTTATGATTCAGTCCACCCCTAGGTGGAGCTAGGATTTCCTAGGGGTGGACTGAATCCTGCCTGTGGATTGATGCCAAATTCATGGGCAGGATGTGGTTTATAGGGGAGCTACTAGTAGACTAGGAGGGGGTTGCAAAAAAGATTTCTAAAGGGGATTGCAGTCCAAAAATCCCTAATACAAATGGTGGGACCCATTAAAAGATTATCACAAACCCACGTTTGTTTTTAAATGATTTTTTTTTTCAAAAAGAAAATACTTTATTAATTACAAACTTGATTTAATTTTTAGGAAGTAACCTAATTTAACTTTTAAAAATAAATAACTCAAAATAGATTTATTAGATAAATAGTAAATACCAAATAAAGTGGGTTATTGTTTACGAATAAGATCTCATTTAATATCTTAAATCAAATTAAAAAGCATAAATTAATAATGGTTTTCAAATAAAATAGGTTAGAATAGATTGTCAATTATAAAGGTGCAAGACCTATATTTGTTTTTTTTTTAAATTAATTTTTTATAACTAAATAATAAACTTCAAACTAAATTATACACACATTTAGTTACCTGTACTTAATATGGAGTTATTCTCTAGTTCTTCTATATGGAAGGTGAAACTAGCCAAAAATTGACACTGTTGTTACATCATATGGATCCATTCGTGTGGTTCATTGCCATCATGGATAAATGGCATGCTGTCAGTCATTTGGTTTGGTACAAACCTACAATGAGTTGGATTATGTGTTTATAATGTTAATTAGCAAGAAAGGGTTAGTGAAGAATTCTTTTGGATATCTTGAAGTGCCTACAACTGGTGATGCCTAGATCTGATAGCGTGATGGATAAAGGAAATAGGGATATGAATCTCTGTTTCCTGACATCATGCCTTTATATCTAGGTTTTTGAAGCTAAGTTTCATTACCCAATATTTATATCAGCTGGTGAACTTCTCAGACCATTTATTTTTTCGGAGAAGTACGGACAGGCCCAATGCAGATTTTTAATTTCCATTTTAGAAATATAAACATTCAAAAGGTCAAAAACCCACACTCTATGCACTCATATTTGCCCGTGAACCGACATCAATTCCAAAATGGCACCTACCCCAAATGTACTTTGAGCCTATAAATACTGATCCTGGGTTGAACTGTCATTCTCCCTTATTTCTTTCGTTTGTTTTTTATATGAACCAGTAATTTCCTGCTGCTGCATCTTTGTTAATTCCCTTAAATTTGAAGCTTACTGTTATTAATTCCTTTCCTCGGTTCAAGTAGTCTTGTTTATTCACTAATCACTATTAATTTGGACAAATACAATCTAATTTATTTACATTAGTGTGGAGCAAGTAAGATTACAACTATTTCTGAAAGTGCAATTTTTATCCAAGTTGCCCCTTTTCTAACATTTCCTTTGAGATAATTTTCTACACGGTAAGCTGAACTTCCATAGCAATGGTGGATGTGAAAAACTTGTTGCAGTAATTGTACCATATTTAGGAGGCAAAAAGGCATATTTAACAGAATGGGAGACAAGTATGAAAAAACAAATAAAGGATTTTGACAAATATGAATACATAACTAAAGAGTTATATATAGAAGGCTAGGTACCTGCTATGTCCTCCATCTTATGACCCAACTTAACCAAGGCTTCAGCTTCAGCATATGCGTTTTGGATGCTCAAGTTTCCAATTGCACCGGTCAAAGCTCGTCCTTGAAGATATTCCATCGACAGGTGGTATGTTTTCTTTAGATCAACTTTATGAAAATGTAAGTCTTATACCATTGCTGCAGGAGTTGAATAATGGAGAGACTGAATTGGAGTGAATTCCCCATTAGACAACCGCAAGCAAAACATTTTGAAAAGTTATGGCGAGTTTAAGAGAAATACTGAAAAGTCATGGTGAGTTTTAGGTAATTTATTTTAATTAAAATTTAGAATGACCCCAAAGTCTAATGGTTTTAATTTTTAATTAATTAGCTTTATTAATTATAAGCTAGAATAGGCCCAAAGTCCTATGCCAATAGGGAATTGGTGAATTGGCCATTTTCAAAAATAATTAGTAATTAATAACTAATTAACAATTAATAATTAATATATGTTTTAATCAACTATTATTAATTAAAAGTTAGAATGGGCCTAAATCCCAATGGGAAATTGATAAATTGTTCATTGCGAAATATAATAATTAATTATGATAAAATATTAAATAAAAATTAATGCTTAATATACTTAACTATATAACAACATTAATTCAGATTACGATTTGATTGAAAATTTCAATCAAATTGAATCGTAATTAAAACCTGATTTTTTTAAAAAATAAAACCAAATTAATTTATTCGATTTTCAATTTATCAACCGAATTTAAACACTCCTACCCATACTTATCCATTAAACACCACCCGATGCATTGCATTGAAAATATCTCTCGTGCATAAAAACATGTAAGAACATGAAATATTTCTCATCTGTGGCTGCGATCTCACGTGGTAGGTATGGATAAATTCATCCTGGTTAGAGTAATATTGAATTATTGATTGATTATTGAGCGGGAAAAGTGAAAGCTCGGAAAAAAGTGCGACGGAGGTCAAAGCTTTTGCCATATTATGAGTCTGTGACGCAGTGACGGAATGACGGTGCCTGGTGGTACCGTGAGGTTACCGAGATAAAATTTCCTTATTTGGTAATGTCATATTTTGCAAACCATCAATGACTCGCCAGGTACGGGGCAGCGAGGTTGATAAGAGTACTTAACTAAATCCTAATTAACGAACAAATTAAAATCTGTACAACAATAATCAAAATTGCCGTCTTAGCTCAGCTGGTAGAGCGCGTGGCTTTTAACCACGTGGTCGTGGGTTCGATTCCCACAGACGGCGTAAGGAGAACGGTTTACTTTTCTAGTTTT